GAATGTCTGTTAGTGTAAAGCGCTTTGGGGTCCGGAGGGACTTGAAAAGCGCTCTATAAGTTCAGTACCATTTACCAGTACCAAAATGCCTGGGCTGATTTTTGTCCCAGTCTTGCACTGCCATCAGCCGGACCTTTAGATTTGTCCTTCTCTGTCTCAAAACTCTGGGAGTCCAACAAGTCTCTCTAAAGAATTTCTTTGTATTTTCCCTATCTATCCTTTGACTCTGACCACAACCAGCTCCTGCTGATGGAAGATGTCCCCACAGCCACCATGTTGCTGCACTTTAGGGTTGGTGTTCTTTACATGATGAGAGGAGATAGATTAGACTCTGATGTTCTAATGTTTGGTCTTACCTAGCCATTGGATCCTCTGATGTTTAAGGAAAAAAATGCCTAACCCTAACACTTCAATTGTTTATTTTAGCAATGACTTCTCCTGTCCACCCCTCCAACTCTATTCCTCCCATTTCTGCAGGAGAGCTGTCCAGCTCTMTTAGATTTAACTTTGGTGTGCTGGATGTCTCTGTTTAATGTGTTTGTCACCAGCTTCATTACTTCAGATGGATGACCCACTTCTTTTCTTGACAGCTTATATGTAATTAATGCTTTAAARCAAAATAAAAATTCAATTAAAATCCAGGTTGTAAGACAACAAAAGGGAAAGACAGTCAAAACTTTTGCAAAAGGCTGGACTGTATCTTCTATACACATCTCCACTATAAATCCAGCTCTTATAATACAGGGCCACATTAGTTGCGTAATTTAACCATTGGGATATTAGATTAAAAATATGGTCAACATTCATCAACTTTCATAATGTTAATCACAAACTGGATTCTGACCCTCTGATAGTTTAGGAAAAGGTACAGAAGATCACTTTTTGGACTATTAGATGTTTGTATTCACACAAACATCTAATAAAATCCTCTGCAATATTAAAATCTATGAACTGGAGCCTGATGAACTCCAGTTCATAGATAAAATGTAATTTAAGCTGGAGTTCATGGACAAAAAACAAAAGGATTATTTGCAAACAGATTTCAGTAGATGGAACAAATCCAGTGACTTTGACATATTAACATACATAACATTAAATAATTAATAAAAAAAACTTGAACAAAAATAATTTCCTGCATGTCAGCATTGGTCACATGAGTTGGTCCCAATAAATATCATTTATAGAAGTTTTTACTGCTTTTAAATAATGAGATAAAAATGAAACAAAAAATAGCTAGTGCAACATGTACAGATGKATCTCAGTAATCCAGGTAAAAAAATGGTTAAGTCCTCTGGACAGGTTCTTCTTTTATGAAACAATTTGTCTCTCCTCCAAGAGACTTCTTCAGTCAGGAATTACAGGTGAGCTCAGCCTTATAAGCAGTATTTCCATATGGTGGACAAACAATTTCCCAAAAACAATCAAAACTGTTCATATACAAAAGAGGACCATTGTGGTCCTCTGTGAACAATGGGGGATATTCAGGGCACCAATAATCAATTGTTGGTTCAGGGTTAGGGTTAGGTCCTCTTTTGCATGTGAACAAACAGTTTGTCATTGTAAACTTGTTTGTCCACCATGTCAATTGAATTGAATAAACCTTTATTGTCATTGTACAGAACACAATGAAATTAAAGTTAAGAAGACKCATTCAGAGGAAACCAAAAACATAAACAAACATAGCAGAACAGGTGACCCCAGGTCATGCAGCCATAGACACTGCATAGAGCAAGGATCATCATCATGAAAACATCATGAGGAAGTGCAACCCTTAAAAGAAAAATGAAATACCACACAAGGATAGATGAGGGAAAAAACCCAAAACATCATATTATATCAATGAAATGTGACACACTATAGTAAGTCACATTTTGTTGATATAATATTATGTTTTGTTTTTTTTCTTATCCAACCTTCTGTGGTATTTAGTTTTTCTTGTTAAAAGGTAGCACAACTCCTGCTGGTTGCTGCATGACCTGTTCCCCATGTTTTTTGTCATGTGTTTTCTTTAATGGGTGTTCTTAAATGTAATTTCATTGTGCTCTGTAAAATGACAATAAATGAATCATCATCATCTTACCCAGCCTTCAAGGCCAAGTAAGGAGGTGCCTAATCAACAATCACAATTGTTTTGGAACAAGCTGACACAGAAGATTTGCTTGCAGCTTTCAATGTCTCACTAGAACTTTCAATGGCAAAAAAATTCTAATCAGCCAAATTTGTTGGTCGATCCTCAACTTTTAGCCCAGGCTCAACTTCACCAGGGTGTGTACAGTAGAAATACTGCCTATAAGGCTGAACTTACCTGTAATACTTCAGACTGAAGACATTGGAGGAAAGAAATAAAGTTTCATTAAAGAACCCATCCAGAGGACCTACTTAACTTGTTTTACCTGTAGTGCAATTATATGGCAAGCTAAACACAGGCCTGACACTGACCACAGGTAGTGAGTGTGATGATGCATTTGTAAACACACAAACAATATCTCTGAAGCCCACAAAAATCTGAAATTGAATGAGATGTGCATTTTTAGGGGGTCGAAAAATCTAAATAGGAAACCAAACTGGTCATGTAAAGATGTAATTAAAACTTTGCTAATATTCCCTATCATTGGTTCTAATTTTCATTAAAACATTAAACAAAAATGTCATTAAATATTTTTGTAAATATCATAAAATTGACAAGGCTTAAATCATTTTCTAGTTTGACTGGCCTCACAAACGTGTTTTCACAGATGAACTTTCTCCCCTGATGTGACAGGGGTCTTGTACTCCGATATTTGTGCAGAGAGGCTATTTCAGTCTGTCTTCTGGGAAAATCCCTGATTGTCAGAACAAATTGTAAAAATGTTTTTCTTGGTCTTGAAGCAACACCTATCTGAAGCCCGCAGATGTTTATCTTAATGAAAACCTTGGCCTTTCCACAATCCGGTGTTTAGGAAACTAGACAGGAGCTGTTTCTTATTATTCATCTCTGATTTTCCTTCTTGGTCATTTAAGGTTGAGCTGACTGAAGAATTAATGCACAGAAGCCCAAGAATGCTCTAAAGGGCTGTAAAGCTTTTCTGTATTGTCACAAACTTCTTTGCTGRAAACTGATCTCCAGGTTCTGAACATGTCTGAGCCATCAGGAGTCTGATGTGTTGACTGGCTTTCAGCAGTTTCAGATGTTTCTCTGGGCCGTGAGGTACTTAAGAGCTGCTGCTCCATACTTTCTGGAAAGATCTTGGTGAAACTCATCCTTAAGGGTGTTCAAGCAATTGCGATAGCTGGAGCTGGAGCGAAACTTTGAGATGTCAAAGCTGGGAGCATGGGGCATGTGGATCATGAAAGCATTGGGGAGGACTATGATGTCATACTCCTGAAAAGACAAAAATAAAAGGTTTAGAAGGTTAAAGAGGGAAATAACTGCATTCCAATTACTCCACTGCTATTATGTCTCAGTCATCAAGTGAGGTAGTAAAAGTGCTATAATAGTTGGTCAACAGTCAGCTGGCTTTACTGCTGGAGGATGTAAAGTGATGTCAGGCACTCATGCAGAAGCAAGATTTCAAGTGGAAGGTGTCTGTTGAAATCAAAGTGGTCCACATCATCAAAGTTGTGTTCCAGTCAACACCTCCACAGTATTTGGTAAAAAGGGCTTATTATTTAAGTCTATTATCCTGTTTAGATTTTAAATATAATGCACCTTTTCACATAAATGTTTAAATGTTTCCCCATGGACCATTTCTGGTATGTTTCTGTATGATTTAAAGATTTTATCAAATATGTTGCATGTTTTATTTTATATTTGTTGAAACAGAAAATCATGTGGAAACTTCAATAGGCTCTAAAAAGACTAAGAACCAAACTAGGCTTTAAACTTTTTATACTGAAACTAATCCATTAAACTCTGAAGAACAATGCTCATAACATAGCTGACATTAAAGTCCACAAGCTTTTGTTCCTTGTCAAGACTTGTTTGCTGAAAGTAGTATACTCTGAAGAATATATTCATACTGAAGCTAAAAAAATAWACAGTACAGACCATAAGTTTGGACACACCTTCTCATTCAAAACATTTTCTTTGTTTCCATGGCTGTGAAAATTGTAGATTCACAATGAAGGCATCAAAACTATGAATTAACATGTACAATTATATATTTGAGAAAAAAGTCTGAAACAACTGAAAATAGTATGTCTTATATTCTAGGTTCTTTAAAGTAGCTACCCTTTGCTTTGATTACTGTTTCACACACTCTTGGCATTCTCTTGATGAAATTCAAAAGGTGGCCACCTTGTCATGGTTCTGGATTACAATTTTACTGCTGTTTATTTTTGATTAATTATAAGGGGTGCCAGTCAGGTCGCCCTCCTGACAGGATGATTTTAACCAGTATGTGTGGGGTTTATTGCTCTACTTTGTTGTTTTTATACTTTGTTGATTTAGACTTAGCTTGGTTAACCTATCACACAAGGACATACATTATAAAGAAACATATACCTTTTTAACTTTAACTAATGTAAAGCATGACAAAAAGCAAACAGCACAGACCAAAGAATACATTTTTTTCATATATATATTAAAGTTACAGACAAAAAATAGAGAATAACAGTACAAATTCAAACAATGCAAAACAAATCATCACTCCCCAGTGTCCATGTGTGGTGTTTGAACCATGGGAATTTAGAGTTCAGTTTTGGCTTGGCTCGGCTCCACAAGCAATAAAGGTAGGCTTGACTCTACAAGCAAAATCACTCCACATAAATCAAATATAGCTCCACACAAAATACACCCCTACAAAAAAAAATTTCCACAATCAAGGAGTTGGTAGTTGTGTGTTTTGACAACAAATTATTATTAATGTGATTATGAAAGTMTTTGCTCACTAGAAGAAAACAAAATAATAGATTTTTCTTTAGTTTTACTTTTCATTATTTAACACACATTTTTTAATTTTAGTTTCTTAGTGGGAGACTTACGTTTCGCTGGTTGACAACGGATGTTGCGCCATTAAAGAACGTGAGGGATTTCCTGACTTAAGGAAAACATGTTGGTGACGTAGCCTTCCTGCAACGTTTCAAGCAAGGATTCTTTTTTTACTTTTCTTATGGTTTGGCTACAGCAGTCTTTTTAAAATCAACAAACTTCACGAAGTGATGATCAAGTTAATCCCTGCGTGATTAAACAGTCTTGTTTTGGAACTTTTCAGATCACTGCCAATGGTTCGAGAGTACTGGCAAGCTGCTGTACACTCGGACTCTGTCAGGGAGTCAACGAACACACTGACAATGTGCATGGGTGATTTTAAAGGTGAGTCACTGCAGCTTACGCAAGTGAACTAGGAATGTGCGATATGGCAAAAAATTCATATAATATATATTATGATGGGTGGCGGTAATGATATATATCACGATATAAAACTTATAATAGAAAATAAATAAATCACACATTAACTGAGTGGAATAAATATGTATAGGAAAAAAATTAGACCTTAAAATCTCCTTTTTAAAGGGACACTTTTATGTCTCCCATAAAAATCTAAATTTAAGGGAGATCTACCTGGTTAAATCAAACACACACACACACACACACACACACACACACACAC